AATCCAACATTCTTTTCTTTAATTTCTCCAATTAACTACATGCTAAAAGCCTTTTATTTTCCAAGTGTGATCAATGTCTTCAAGCATGCAGAACTTAAAAAGTACTTAAATTTTCACCCAAAATATAGTAGACACACATGACATAAAAGGCACACATGTACTAGAGAGATTAACAGATCGATAGATAAATACCGCGCAAGGTAACCATGAGTCCTCTTGCGCTTGATAGTGCTTGGCTGGTAGGTTCTTTTAGGGAGCAGGAGCAATGGATCATTTGATAAAGCATCATCTCCTGAAGGAGAGAGAAAAATAAGCATCAAGTGAGGCCACAGGACACATTTGCAAAAAAGAAAGCATGCCAATGAAAAATCAAAATATAGGATCCAGCTATATTCATTAAGGAAAAGCTGGAACTGTTCGCAGAAATAATTGATATATTAATGCATGTTCGAGCTGATACAAATACTTTAGGTAGAGGCAAAACTAACAAAGATCAACATTCTTCAGCATGATAGAGACGCATATGATAAGAGTATACAGAAATAAACAACATAATCAAGATTAAAGCTTTAAGACCAAATGAATAAGAGCATGTTTAAGAACTTTAGATTATAATTTACTTGGGTTATAATCCACAAACCATTCATGGATTATAACCCAACTGGATCATATGGTCCAGAGTGCTTGGTAAATTTGGTGGACTAAAATCAATGGTAGAGTATTTGGCAAATGGGTGGATTACAAATATACCGTTATTGTCAAAATGACGAAGAAGTGCACAAGGTGGGTGGTGAGTTATTAAATGAAACCTGAGATTTTGTGAAATTATGAGGGGTATAATTGTCTTTTACTTGATCAAACCCCATAGATTTTAATCCACCGAAAAAATAACCTTGGGTACCCAGATTATTTTTTGGTGTTATAATCCAAAATAATCCGCTTTTCAGACATCGAGAATATTTTTTGGTGAAATTATGTTTCCATAATTTTGACCATTTACCAAAACATGCTCTAAGTATAACCAGATATCGTGATTTCACTCAGACCCCCATGTTTCTTTCCTTTTCCTATTGAAGGTAAAATACAGTGTATAATCCAATGTTTTTAGATACTACCAAAAATAACCTCAAATATCTAAATAACTGAATATGTATCTAAATTATGAAAACATGTCTAAATGAATAATCACGTTAATGAATGATATCCTTATATTTTACATATCGGTTATCTTGACAGTAAGGCAGCGTGCATTTAATTGCAGAATTGGGTTATGGGAGTTCATATGATCATCTTTAACATCCAACGTAACCAGTCACATTTTGAAAAATTAGATAGGACACTCGTATTTTATTACTATTTCAACATAACCTAATCAAAATCAGCAGTTAGTCATCTACTTCGGCCTATCAAAATTTCAGGGTCCTAATACGTGTTGTTCCTATAATTATGATACATTTTAATTTGGGAAAAACACTTCCACACCCTGAAAGATTCCCTGCTTTCCTAAACTTTAATATATTTTCTTGAAGTTACCCTATTTGATCGAAGCCCTAAATTTATTTAATACTTATTTTAACTGTCCCTCTCACCACCACCCTCACCCGTCCCCCACTCGACTTACAACCATCTGGTCCATCCCTACTCTCTTTCGCTACAACGGACCCCACCAAATACATTCCCCCCCCCCCCCCCAAAAAAAAAAAAAAAAAACTCCTCTCGCCTAACCCACATACCCATTTGCCCTTCCCTCTGCCCTTCGCATATGTTAACATGAAGTCCAAGATAAAAAACATGGTATTGTGAGCATACACAAACCTGATTGTACGTGTACAACATACACAACAATTCATCACGGTCAACCAGTAATCCCAAAGAAACACCAGGTAGACCTTTAGCACCACAATCTGACAAACTAGTGTGCTCAAGGTATTGGGGTTTATACGCTTCAATACAGATATCAAGCTCACGCAGAAACAAATAAAGAATACAAAAGTCAATTACAAACACACAGGTTTAATGTGGTTCACAAAAGTCCTACGCCCACTGACAATAACAGAAAATTATTTCACTAATTAGAAAAGAGAACACACAGAACACATCTCAGATCTGAATAAACTCTCTCATAGATGATACAACAACCTCTCATTATCTTCAATCTTACAAATGATAGAGAAAACTATCTAATTATCGAATTTTCTATCTTAAAGGTGTTCTGTAAAGATGGAATTACTCTATACATACAGGATTTTTTTTGAGTTAACTTCACATATCCCTTGCTTGGTTCTTACATGAGGGAAGGGGCATAAAGAATCATTCTAGAACTAACCCCTGAACTTTGGCGCGCGCGCGTGTTTATTTTATTTTTTTGGTGGGGGTTCACATAAACCCCTGAACTTTAAACCCTTTCTCACAAAATCTCCTTTGCAAATGACTAAAATGTCCTTGAGAGAAGAAAATCCCAAAAATTGTCATTTTCCATTTATAGGAACCTTACGCCCTGCCCTAAATTTTGAGTTTTTTCTAACAAATGTTTTATTTATTTGAAAAATTACATGTAGAAGGTTATGATGATAAAAGTTCAAAGTTCAAGGTGGCGTTTATCTAACCATTATCCACGTATAAAAAATCCTCAAAAATAATCTCTACACATCGTGCATCAATAGGAATGCCAAACTGGTAACAGATCGCGTCTGTTGGAGATACGAAAGACGTCGAACGCAAACAGCCTACCGTCAGAAGTAAGTAGCTTATTTTTGGTTGTGTTTTCAGACAGTAGACATATGTCGACTGCGGGAACTTAACAGTTAGAACTATGACTTAGGGCTTCTCTGCAGAGCTTTGCTGCTGATGAACTAGGGATTGAAAACATAAACTGGCAACTCATCAGAAATGTCGGATGCTCTTAACACCATAATTTCGGTCAGAGTTTTAAACGGACTCTCATGTAAAAATAGCTGATCTCAGATTGCAAACTCATTTGCCCACAACGTAAGTTTCTCAATGTGTAACATCCATAATACAAAATAACAAAAACTACTAATACCTCCATAAGGTTCATCAGTTCCTATCTCAAGCACCAGAGGAGGAGATAAAATAGTTAACAACTCCAATTTAACTCAATATATCATTTGCTTATGATTTTTCCAATTTGCTTATTCATACATCCACAGCCTATAACCAACTTTTGCTGAAACCTAAAAGAAACTAAAATTTGAGGGTACCCAAAGCCTTGATAGCTAAATTTTGTAAAAATATGAAATTCAATGAATAACCAGCAGTAAAAAGAGAGGGTTTTTCTCTTTTACCTTCATCATCGATGAAGAATCGGAGAGAAGGGAGACCACAAGGGAAGTAAATCCCATCGGGAGAAGCTATTCTCTTCAGGGCATCAGCGTCTCCTCCTCCAGCATCAGATTCTTGAACACGGCTAGGGTTCCGATCGATCCGCATCTTGTCGAGCAGCGAACGAAGAGGAGGAGGATTCGAGGAAATCTGAAGCAAATTAGGAAGGACATTGTTTTGTTTAAGGGGGTTAGAGACGAGGAGGCGATTGATGAGAGATGACCCAGCTCGAGCTAGGGTTTTCGTCGACATTTTGAGCTTTTTCCTTCCTCCTCTTGATCTCTTTATTAAATTAATTAATGATGGAACGCTAAAACCCTAGTTTTTTTTTGGGTTTCCTGCGTTGGCTTCGGCCGTGTAGAGAGGATCCTCTGCGTTCTACCCTCGAGGTTTAAGTGCTGACAGTGAACACGGGCCCAAATCCAATTAAGTTTAAGATGGGCCCCCATGACTTCCAGTAACACATGTTCACAATACACTAGCCATGATTTACGGCCGAAAATGGGCTGCTGCACATGGGAAGGCCTTTCTTACGGTGATACAGCCGAAATATTGCAAGTTCAAAGGCTCGGAATGTTTTCAATATGTTAAGTCCATCCTCTACGCTATCCAAAAGGTAACGGAGGGACCATTACATAATCACAACTATTGATTATGTAGTTGGTGGTTGTAATTTTTTCTTGAGTGTAAATTAGGAATGAGCGCAATACACGGGGGTATGATGAGTGTTAAATTTAGATTGCATCATAACCGCGTACTAAATAATCAACGATTGAGATTAAAAGTAGTGGTCTCTCCACTACTTTTACTTTTTTTTTTTTTATAGTGGAGAGGATCCAAACCTTATGTTATGTTGTATTGTATGATGGGTTGTGATTTTTTTTCTTCTTTTATTGTGCATGCTGTGTACAGAAGGCATATCCTTCATCTGGCTTCCCACTGTACCCCTTATTTACACAGGCTTCGTCACAGTCGGCGGAGCACAAATCGGCAGCCTTGAACCCGAAATCTCGGCCGCATTTCTTCATGCACTCGCACCAGCAGAATTGTCCAGCGCTGCTCATCTCCGTCGACGATATAATAATGACAACCATGGAGATCAGGAGCGCAGCTAACGTTTTCTTGTTCAATGCCATCCTTAATTTGTTTAATTTGGTTTCTTTTGATTATTAATGTTCCGACTCTTTTTTGGTTTCTCTAGAGGTCTCATTTATTTATTTATAGGACAATTTGGTGGCAAAACATTTAAGAGGGGTTTTTTTAAGCTTTGAGTTAATGCTCAGAAGGTTCCGTTATTATGTTTAGGGAATTAATCAATGGAAGGGTGTGCATATATATGAGCTTGTCGTTGAGGTACGGTAGAAAAGAGATAATATACAACGCTATTTATGAGGGTTAATCAATTTTAAAACCATTGTTTAAAGACTAGGAATAACGCAGGCCCCTCGCAAGATATTTGTTTGCATGAGTTGAATCTGAAAATTTTAATGCGTCCTCTGTGGGCTCTTAAAATCCCTAGCCATTATATCAAAACTCCGAAGTTATAGTAAAAACCGAGGGTAATTATTTTTTATTCTAACATGACTCACCGAATAGAGAAGATTAACAGACTACTGAACAAGCAAATATCAAAAGTTCCGAAACAAAATTTCAACCCAAGATCTCTTTCCAAGTCACAACTGAATTGTACGGTCAATTATCCGTGACAAATTTATATCATAGAAACTCAAAGGACGGATGGAAATTTAGACTAGGAGAAACAATGTGCAAGTCATATATTTGAATTTATAAGTCAACTTTCAGTTCAAGTCAAATTTGTATTTTGACTCAATTGTTTGAATGGAAGCTATATTCAACAATAAGTTACTGTATACGACAAAATACAAGATGAAAGATAGGAGATCAACAAAGTTTCATGGTTCAATAAAAGAATTGATACAGGTATTATCACTTTATCAACAACGAAAGAATGACACACACTCTACAAAATCCCTCACTGGTGTGCAGGTCTTCGCTTCATGGTACCTCAAAAATAAAAAAATAAAAAAAAAGTGGGGAAAAACTTTCTTGGTTCAGCCGTATGTTGAACAACCCAACTAAATTAACCTAAGTTAAACCGTTAAAAATTCTAAAATATCAAACAAACTGAATCTTTTACAGTCTTTTGGACTTCGGAAGAGTAAGAGAAACTGTAGGAGTTGGAATGCCCATATAAGCAAGCCTTGGAGAGAGCCTAATACGAGGGCTCGGTCGAGGGGATGGAATAGGGATTTTGTTTCCCATAGGCGAAGGGATAACCCTCGGCGACAGGTTAACCTGTTCCAGCGCCTTGAACTGGAGTTCAGTTGGATAATCTCGGACACAGCCAATACGAGGTCCAGTTCCTGTGCTCCATTTGCAGGATAAACGACGTCCCAATGCGAACGCATCTTGCCTGCTTGAAGTCTCCTTTGAGGGTTCTTTTTCCACCACCTTGGCCCTTTCTTTTATTTCCTGGTCATTGGTGATATTAATGGATGGGAATTCATCATCATCAACCGAGCATCTCTGCATAAAAGATGGTCGCTATTAGTGATTTTGAGATTGGTTTTTCACAGAAATGAGAATGTTATGGAGGAGTTTTGGGTATGCACTAAGAGATGGTAAGAACCGAATGCATTACTAGGAGGTCATAGGTTGATCCTATTGATGCTAGAATGAGAGAATGGATTGAGATGGTTAGACTATGTGCAATGAAGACTACTAAATGCGCCAGTTAGAATAAATGATAAGATTGTATTTAATGGAAAAAGGATAACTACAGGTAGGGATAAGGTAAATGGTAATAGTTGATGAAAAATATAGCCCCTGAACTAAATGGAAAAATATGATTCATGTAGCTGATCCTAAAATCTTGGGATAAACACTTTGTTGTGATGGGATTGGTCTTTTATTGTTGAATGCTCGAAGAGGAAATGGTTCACAATACCTTGACATTGGTGAGGTCGACGTTGTTATCTTGAAGGAAGCTTATAAATTCCTTGAAATTCTCTTCAGTTGGGAGGTAATGTCCACTGTATGGCCATATAGCCTGAAAATTACCAATAATAAGAAGTTAGTATAGTAATTATTTGGAGTAGTAATATGCGATGCAACTGTAGTAGTCTGATGGATACCTGTAGGATTCCTTCTTTGACGACCATTCTTCCTGCAGCTGTTGTAGCTCCCCCAGATAGAAAGCTTGAATGTTGAAATGATCCTTTTTTCTTCTGCTCATGAAATGATAGAAACTTTTAGACCACAATATTACAAGAAGAATTTTACTTCATCTGATGATATGAAACTCTAGTAGGATTTTACCTGCCCCACATACAGTGCCCTCGTTGTGCTGAGAACAAAAATCCACTTTGAACCTTCGGCAGTGTTAACAGGGATTTCTCTTTGTTTGTATACGAGCTTTCCATCCTCCACAATGACTTCATATGCCTCCCTCTCTTTCTGCAATTGAAGCGGCCAACAAATTCATAAGTCATCACATGCAAAATCGACTTGGTCATAAGGTCTAATTGAGGGATCTAGTCGCAAATTGTAGTTTTTTTTTCTAAGGATTATTTAGTCTGATTTAGGTCTCAAAGTAAGAAAAAGAAATTGATAAATTGGCATTGAACAAGGAACATACAGGTCCAAGATATTCGATGCACTGCTGTTGAAGATTGCTTCGTCGGCACTTATCAAGATTCACTTCTCTTCCATCTCCTACATCCAACCTTCATTTTGTACCAAGAAAATATTAGTACAGAGAAACAACGAAAGCTGACAACTTGAAGAAAAAAACAGCATCATGTAGCAAAACGTATATATTTACCAGTAGAAAAATGGTTCAGTGCTCTCGCTTTCGAACCAAACATCATAATATAGATGCAAGTTGTGCCCATAACGGTGTCGTGGGTCTATCTACATAATCAAATAATGGGAGTTAAATCATCAGAACATCCTCATCTGATTATATCGATAAACAACGAAGAAGAAGAATAAGAAGAAGAGACTTACTGCTTCGAGCCAGTGTTGGAGTGCTAGCTTTTGTGCCTTTTCATCTTTGGATAAACCTTTACCCACCTAAAGCAAATCAAAAAAACAAAGCATGAGCTTTACATAAATACAAGGCATTTCAAAATGTCTAAGATAAATTGTTTATTTTACACGTAATTACCTTGGCTGCCCTAGTTCTAGCTCTTGCCCAACGAGAGACGGCACTCTCTGGTTTCTCTACATCGAAGAAAGATATCGAGCTATGCTTCAATGAAGCAAAATCCAGTGCTTTCCACCTGAAAAACCCAACAAATTAAATCTCAATTACAAAAAGCTCTGAATTGTGAATTTGTGAACAGAAAGAAAGAAAAAAACATAGGATTAAAGGGCTTGTAGACTTACCAGAGCTCCTCAACTACAACAGCACAATCTGCTAGATTTCTTCGAGTTCTGTAACTCTTGTAAACCTTTTGGAGCTTCACTGCTGCTGCATCGCGCTCGCTCAGAGGCCTCGGTGAGCTAAACTCTGAATGCTGGCGGTTTAAGTAAGTCGAGGGCTTCTCTGAAACCGGGGCTTGATCCTCTGCTGCCTTAAAGGTGATGAGATCCTCTGGTTTATTGAACGGAATGGAGATTTCAAGCCTATTGGTTTCTTCGGCGGGCTCCCAGTTCTTGAAGCTTAGTGATCTCTCGATGGTGATCGAATCAGGCCCTTTGGCTTTCGACTTGATTCCCGATTCATTCCTCTTGAAACTAAGTGATCTTAGCGTCATTTTGACCGCTTCGTTCTCACCGAAGCTGAGGGATTTTGATAACACTGCTTCAACTTCCTTCATGCCCCAGATCGTGCTCCTCATCACATCAATCGAAATCCATGAAAGCAAGGAAAAGGACGTGCCCATGAATCTCAAAGCAGCTCTCGAGGTTCAAAATTACCGGGATTTCCCTGTAAAAACTAAATTAAGAAGGGCCATCATCAGCTCGCTACACACAAAAAAAAGAAAAAAAGAAAAAAAAAAGAATTGCCAACTTTATAGAAGAACCCAACAAGAAATCAAGACGGATAAATATCTTAAGGATCAAAGGGGACCCGACAGGATGCTACCTTACAAATTAGTTGAAGGGATTCAGTAGCCTCTGAAGAGTTGATCGAGGAGGCTAAACTTGATAGTGAACGAACAAAAGAATGAATGAATGAATGAATGAATGCAAGTTGTGAGCAGCCCCCCTTGGCTTATATAATAAATGAGTGCAAGTTGGGGAGCAGGTCCACTGTACCCTTCAATTACGTAATGCGGACAAAATGATGGGCAAGACCTCAGTATAATTTTTCTATTCTACGTAGAATTCAAATGTTTGTGCGCGTGTCTGTGGGGACAAAAAGATGCATGTCATGGGTGCTAGCTGTTCTTCTTTCTTCGTTTTCCCTTGATTCTTAGGTGTGGGAATTTTGAGCAGCAGAAAACTCTGACAGGTCTTGAACCCTTTGAAGGGTTCAAAGATTTCAATTTCAAATGGTCAATTCTTCATTGGGATGGGTTGAAATGTTGAATGAGACTTGAGAGGGGGAGGGGAGGGGGGGAAATCATACAGAGAGGGTGTTCGATCTGTTGAAAATGTTAATTTCGAAGTTAATGATTGCACTGATTATCCACCTCGACGAGGGGTCCTCGCCCAATTTTGATAGTAAAATAAAATAAAGGTCGTTATCGTTCCCTTTTCTAATGAATTTTTTCTATACAGGGGCATCTGTGCGATGTATTTTTTTTAGAACCCCGTCCAGAGGGATAAGGAGGTCAATTCAGTGGTCGGGTATTATTGATCGAAGGGTTTCCAGGAACTTGTAATTTTCCAATATTCTGGTCAACATGTTTTAATATTCTAAGTACGTAGCGTGTGATGAATTTGGAGTCTTGTGCATTTACTATATCGATCCTAATCCTTTTAATCATCAAAAAATTAAAAATTGCGACTTCGACATTTTTTGATTATGAACCTTTGACAAGTTCAGTTATCTCATCAACTTTGTCCGGCACCAAAAAGAAGCACCCCATCTCTGACAACCTAGATTTCGCACCACGTGGGTCAACGACTTTAGTTGATTAAGATTATATTGAAGAATTTCAGAGGTAAGTACTCCTTTGTGACAACGGGGGTGTACGTGATGAGATTTGGTAGCCAAATTAAGTAAATTAGATATTTTCTTAAAATATATTTTATTTATTTTTATTTATTTATTTTTTATTTTTTGGGAATAGCCCGTATAAGGTGCATAGAGACAAATCAACACGAAATATTTTAAAAATCTTGATGTACTCAGGGGCTGTTTGGTTGTTGTTGGTAAAGTTGTGTATTTATGACACAATTTGAAAAATTGTTGTCCACCTCATCAATTTCACTTTTATATTTTTCTTTGTTTGTTTTTTATTCCATTGGAATCATAAATTGCTTGTTTGGTTTGTAAATGCAACTTTAATTGTTTGTTTGGAAAGTGTAAAAAGTGGTCCCTACTCAAATGATCATATTGGTTGGAATTATTTTTTATTATTTTTTCCTGATTTTAATGTCAGTTTTCTCCTAAAATCATGTCTTTTTTTTTATGAAATCACTTTACAAGCCACATCAGCATATGAAATCACTTTACACTATTTTCACAACTACAAACAAACAATTGAAAGTGATGAAAGCTGACATTGGGACCCACTTTTTTACACTTTCCATCCTTTTACATGGTAAAAACATACAACCAAACAGCCCCTCAGCTACGCTTGTTCGCTAGGCGCATTAATATTTTAAAAATCAATAGAAAAATAGTAGGATTTAGGTATTAGCACGCTGGATAAGTTTCTTGAAAACACAGCAGATAGTATAAAATATTTAATGCCCCCTGAATTAATATTCATACCAAAGAATTGACCGTCTTCAGATTGCTGCCGTATGATGCGAAAGTGATTGCTCTCTCAATGCACCAATAATTCAAACCGGTAGATACTTTCACCACCTGATAAATGTGACCTAAATTGTTGATGAAACTACAGTTTGACTCAGGCTGCGTAAATATTAATCCATTGTGATATGGACTACAAAATAATACAGTACTCTGTTTTCTTGACCATCCAGTAGCTGGATTGGCCTCCGACAAGTGACAGGGAAGGAAGCGGGTAGCTTTTATTAACACCACAACTTGTTTCGTTTATTCTAGTGTATCAATCAATAAATAAATTAACGGCCGTACAGTTGTGATGTGGATTTTTCCTCTACTTTATTTACTCTCTCTGCTTTAAGAAAGAAATAGAATAATAAAAACAAACATTTGCCCAGTGATATACCTATGCAATAATCTACTCCTATGTACAATTGGGAGAATCCAAGGTTCACTGTTTATGCTACAGTAAACACTAATGCAGTAGTATTACTGTACGTTCGTTAATTTAAAAAAAGCAAACATGATTACTGTAGCATGAAAAAAAAATATCGCCGTGCTTTGCACGGACAGCTCACTAGTCTGTAGTAGTAAAGGTTGAATAAAGAATGAGGTTGGATGGATGATAGGAAATAATATGTTATGTTAAATAGCGTCGGATAATGAGAATGGGTTATGTATTGGGTTTGATCTAGGGGCCAGTTGTCACACAACATCCCCAACCAATAACAGATAAAATACCGATTTAATAAATGTGAGATGCATTGATTCAATTGCTGCTTACAACAGCAGAGCAACAAAAACAACAACAAAACTAATACGAAAATGAAATGCAGGAGCATAATTAACCGACATGAAATTTATTGAGACGGTCCACTTGATAGAATATTTCTAGAGTTATAGGCGAGCACCAAAAGATCAGAAACATCATGTAGCGAACGACTCAGAATCCAAATCCCAAGCATCATCGTAAGAGTTCCAACAGGATATGTGCTTTGATTTAGCATCACTAACAAGATTAAGGTGTTGGATTTAAATCTAATTAAATCTAATTGTGGGCACCTATGATTAATCAATGTGTATTGATATCCTTAAGGATGATTTAAATCTAATTAAATCTAATTGTGGGCACCTATGATTAATCAATGTGTATTGATATCCTTAAGGATAACCCACTTAAAGTGATCAATCAATTTGGGCACCTATGATTAATCAATGTGTATTGATATCCTTAAGGATAACCCACTTAAAGTGATCAATCAATTTGGGTTAATGGGTATTTAAATAAATCATGTGGTTATATGTGCAGATATCAGGTTGTAATTGTAATTTGATGAGGGGCCAAATTACAAATGTACAACACCTATATACATGGGGTTATGGTCCCTAATCTAGGGTTAGCCACTCTCATTCTCTTATCCCCATCTAAAAAGATCCATAAGGGAGAAACCCTAAGATTAGAAGATCATCAAAACCCTAATCAGGTTTTCCTCAATGGATTCAGGTATATGCTTCCGCACTTTTTGATTCTTGTTAATCTCTTTGAATTAATCATGGTTTTATGATTTAGATCTCAAATATTAGATCTAACAAGTGGTATCAGAGCCACCGTTGATTTGTTCTAAGAGATTAAGATTAAAATTAGGGTTCTTTGATCTTAATTTGTGTTTGATTCAGATTTGTTCACGGATGAACAGTAATGTTTTTGATTTATTCGGATGAACAGTATCATTTTTTATTTTTTGGATGAACAGTAAAGATTTCCCTTTTTGTTTGGTTTTTCTTTCAATTTTGGATCAAAAGGTCATCTTTTATTCTGGATCTAATTTTGAAATAAAGTCGAGGAATTTTTTGGATCTATTTTCTTGTTTGGTCGTCGGTCCCCGTGCTCCTCGCCGGCGAAGTGTCACTGGCAGCGTCGCTCTCGACTCCGACGACGACGACGGCGTTAGGAAACCCTAGGGTTTCGACCTTTGGGTGCGGGAGCAATGACGGCGGCGGTTTCAGATTAAAACCCTCAAGGGGTTCGTGCGCGTGAAAACGTGTAGAAATTAAGGAGGTGATTACCTCAATTTTTGGCAAGGCTTGAAAGCTTCAAACGAACCTTGCGTTCGTTCTTAAACGAACCTCGCGTTCGTTCTCGGGCGAGCCTCGTGCTCGATTCAGACGAACATTGCGTTCGTTCTCAGGCGAGCCTCGCGCTCGATTCAAGTTGAACCCTGCGTTCATTCTCAGGTCGAACTTCACGATCGTTTTCAGACGAACATTGCATTCGTGCTCAAATTGAACATTGCGTTCATTCTCAGGTTGAACTTCGCGTTCGTTTTCAGACGAACATTGCGTTCGTGCTCAAGTTGAACATCGCGTTCATTCTCAGGTCGAACCTCGCGTTCGTTTTCAAACGAACATTGCGTTCGTTCTCACGTCGAACCTCGCGTTCATTTTCAAAACGAACATTGCGTTCGTTCTCAAGTTGAACATCACGTTCATTTTTAGACGAACCTCGCGTTCGTTCTTAGGTGAGTCTCGTACTCAATACAGACGAACCTCGCGTTCGAAGTCAAGCAAACTTCGTGTTCACTATGGTTAAGCCTCGGCTTCTCATATTAAATTATGAGTCCACTTTGGTATACTTAATTTATTCAATTAAGTTATGGGCCCTAATTAAGCTATGAGGTCCCAATTAAGTTTTTTTGGAAATTCAGTTGATTTAAATTAAAACCTTTTAATTTAAATCTAATTTGGTAGTTAATCAATTATTTAATTCAAATACTATGACACTAAGGTATTACAGTTGTCTCTCACTCCAATTGATTAATTAAAACAAGAAGTTGCCAAAGTAACCTCTCCTGTGTAGATTGTTCATGAGGAATGTGAGATGTTTGTGTGTATGTTTTCGTGTAAATATTTAATCGGCCCAAAGGAAGGTTAATATTTATTTAGACTGCATACACATCTGCGATGATAAACGTGTGACAATTATAATGTTTACATGTAAATAATGAATCGGTCCAAAGATAGGTTCATTATTTGACATGAGTTATTATAAATGTTTGATCATTGTAACAAGGTATCACTTACAAGTTAATATTACTGTCCAAAGACTTGATATTAATGTTGTGCCAGATATCTTGAGATGAGATTTGTCATTATTTGAATTTTATTGATTACTAATTACGGTTAATAATGTGAGTATCTTTTGTTTATTTCAACTAATGCATCTGCTGCAACAATTTCTACTAACATTAACTCAATCTCCATGCTCAATGGA